TCTTATTACTAATATTTTTTTACAGCGATAAAGTATACCTTTAGTGGTGACAATTATTGTTGCCAAAAGTTTTTTGGTGCTAAAAGTTTACCTTTTGTCGCCATTAAAAGTTTGCTTTTGGTTGTAATCATGTTTGTCGTCGTCAAAAACTATTAGGGATAAGGCTTTTGGTAGCGACCCTTTGGTGGTGAAAAGTCATTGCTAAAAACCTTTAGTCGTTGCCAAAAGTCAACTTTTTTAAAAAAAGTAAAAAAGCCATCTTATGTCACTTTAGCGCTTCCTTGTGCCACGTCATCTAACACATTATGCCACATCACCTGCCATGTCGCCTCATCATGTGTGCACCACATCATGCCATGTCACCTAACAACTTGTGCCATGTCACGCCACATTGCCACCACGTGCCATATCACATATTCACTGTGAATTGTGAAATATACCAAATTAAAATTTGAGCCCTTAACCTCCATCTTCCAAGCTTTAAGTCATCCTTTGTTGCCAATTGAGCTGAAATGCACCTGCAATTATTATATACGAAATTAAATACATATTATTTAACTACATATACATATATCAAATAATATATTATTAAAAATATATACATATATATTTTATTTTATTTTCATTTATTAATATGTTAAAATAATTTCTATGAGTGTGTATATATATTATATTTTTTAATAAAATATTATTTTTGTTAGGAAAATGAACTTAAAATGAAATAATTTTTAAATATTAAATAATTTTCTTATAAACATTTTTACCAATTTTTAAATTTTATTTTTATTTTTTAAATGAAAATAATTAAGTATATAATTTATCTATAAGTATGTATTATATTAGTTTATGTTAAATATCTTTTACATTTTTTTCCATACTTTTCTCAAAAATTATTAAGTAAATTATTAAACGTTCATCTTCTCCCAAGTTAAATGCTTCCCCTTCTTTTATCAAAAATAAATTTTATTTACAATTTTTCAATTAGCTTAAAAATATTTTAATAAAAAATTTATTTTACTCATATAATTTTTGTTGATAGTCATTTTGGACAATTATCCTTAGTAGATGCTAAACACAAAAAAATCCAAGTTAAAAATCTAAGTGGATATTTCATAATTAAAATAGAAGGAATTTTATCTTGACTCAATCTAAATTAGTTTAGACTTTCATTAAAGTCTTTTTAATAAAGTCAATCTAAAGTTAATAGAGAACACTTTCCAATAACTTTACAATTTACAATAAACAAACTTTAATAAGTTTATCACTACTGAAAAAATGCAAATTAGCGAGAGATCTTCTATTTCTCTTTAAAATACCGAATTAGTGAAGAAATTAGAGAGAGATAGTGATTTTGTAGCTTGACGTACTATCAACGAGGAAAATAGCGAGGGATTGTCAATCCCACTTTAAAATAAGAGAATTAGTAAGAAAAATAGCAAGGGACTGTCAATTCTTCTTTAAAATAAGATAATTAGCGAGAAAAATAGTGAGAGATTGCTAATACCTCCCTAAAATAAAATAATTAGTGAGGAAAATAGTGAGGGACTATCAATCCCTCTCTAAAATAAGACAATTAGTGAGAAAAATAATGAGGAACTGCCAATCTCTTTCTAAAATAAGATAATTAGTGAGGAATTTAGCGAGGGATTCTATCCCTAGCTAATTACTGTAAAAAAAAGTTAACTTTTAATAATGAATTTTAATTATATGTTTAATTATTTGTATTTAAAAATAAAAATTAAATTTAAAAATTAACTAAAATATTCATAATAAAATTATTTAATTTTTAATATATTCTTTATTTTAAGTTGATTTTTATTAATAAAATAACATTTTATTAAAAATATAATGTAAAGAATAATTTAAATAAAATATAAATATTTTTAACATATTAACAATTGAAAATAAAATTTAATATGTATATATGTGTGTATATAATATATTACTTGATATATTTATGTAGTTCAAGAATATATATTTAATTTATCATATAATAACTACAGGTACCTTTCAATTCAACTGGCAAAGAAGGAGAGCATAAGGCTTGAAATGTGTGAGATTAAGGGTTCAAGTTTTGAATTTGACATAAACATAATGAATATATAATATGGTAAGGAGCAAATAACATGACACAAGGTGGATAATGATATGTCATGAGTTGTCGCATATGCGGCGAGTAATGGGGCACAAGATGATAGGTGATGTGACGGTTGATGAGGCATGAAGTTGTTGGTGTTATGTTATAAGTTGATACACACATGGCAAATGATGTGATATTACTATTTTTAAATAAATGCATATTTAGCGAGAAATTAGTGAGAGATTAGTCCCTCGCTAAATTATCAAATTTTGAATAATATTAGCAAGGGATTAAATCCCTTGCTAAAATTAGTAGGGGATTAAATCCCTTGCTAATTAATAAGGGAAATACAATCCCTCGCTAAATTTAGCGTGCCTTTTTATAGTTACGAATTTAGCAAGGGACAAAATCCCTCGTTAAAACACAATTTAATTAGAGAAAATGGCATTTAGCGAGGGATTTGTTCCTCGTTAAATTCAATTTTTCTAATAGTGTATACATAATTTCATCTATAATTCAAAAAACTGTCAAGTATTCTTGACCTATTTTATTTATTGCTTATTTTAGATAACCATCAAATATGGAACATCTTATTTAGATAATCTTGTGATAGTGAAAAATAAAGCTCAACAAATGAAGTAGACACCATTTTTATACCAAGTCAAGTATCAAATGTTTAATTTGTTAAGTAGTCTGCAATGCCATTTGCATCTTACAATATCTATATAACTTTAACATTATAATGTTTATATATAACTTTAACATTCTAATATTATTTATTTCTCATTCTATATATAAATACCTTTAGTGGCAACAAATTTTGCCACTAAAAATATTTATAAAATATTTTTTAGTTTTTTAATTATTTTTTATAAAAATATTTTTGGTGGTGACAAATTGTAACCATGAAAAGCAATTACATAAATTATTTTTAATTTTTTAATTATTTTTTATAAAAATACTTTTCGCGATGACTGTTTGTCGCCACTTAAAGTAATAACATAAATTATTTTTTATTTTTAATTATTTTTTATGAAAATAATTTTGGTAATTTGATAAATTATTTTTTATTTTTTAATTATTTTTTTATGAAAATAATTTTGGTGGTGAAGATTTGTCGCCACTAAACATAATTACAAAAATTATTTTTAATTTTTTAGTTATTTTTTTATAAAAATACTTTTAAACACAAACCCTCAAAAAAATATTTTTTGGCCAACAACATAGACCCTCAATTTAAAGTCTTTCCTTTCTGCCCATAAAATTTATAACCTGACAGCGTAAGAGATTAAGAAAAAGTAAAATACAAAACTTACATCTTGCACTTTGCCGATGCATTTTGTTTTTAGGCATTAATTTTGTTTTATCATTCCCAGTTCTTTTAATTTGATCTGTATATAATAGTAGCTCTTAATTTGAAAGTGCACATAAGGACCATGATACGATATTGATGATGTTAATTTTATTGACATATACTCCATTTGTTAATTCTGTTAACTCCTTTGTTAATGTGTACTTAATCTCTTGCTTTTGTCAATTGCATTCTATTTAATCTAAATATACAATGAAGCATTTTTTTGGTTACCTTACATTTTATTTTTTATTATACCTAGCCAATTTATTTTTGTGCCATGTTTTTATTGTGTTAGCAAAAGAGTTATCGAGTTAATGTGGAATTAACTTCGTCAATGCCAGTTCATAACTGTTATATGTATTTTTAAAATTATAGAGATTAAAATTTTTAAACGAAATAATAAAATAAATATTGGAACTAAAAACGAAAAACAGTCAAAAGTACATAGATCTACAATTGTATTTCTTTTTATAAATAATAACCTTTGAAGTTTGGTCCTTGTAAATTAAAAAAAAAAGAGATTGTTTTAGGGGTATTTTTTTTAGTTTGTCACATTTTATTATATTATTCATTCATGTATTATTTTCGTTCTGTTGAATATGAAAGAATTGAATTTTTTTTCTATCTAATGCTAAAGTAGAAACATTTTTTTTAGGATTGAGATTTGTGAATAATGCAGTTTATTATTCACTTTTTTTTATATCGATAATAGATATTTCAATAAAAATTAATTAACAATCAACTGAGTGTTTTAAAGTATAGTAATTATGTGATTTAAGCAAAATTTAACAAATGTAAAAGAATAATAGTAATAATTAACATAATAAGAGAGTGCTATCCAAATGTGAGTAGATGTATATATCACACGTTATGTTTTATGGGCATTGCAGTGGATCATGACACCGACCAAGATTACTGTCATTGAAGTTAATTATTACTATCATTATACTTACAGTTGTTTTGACTTCCTTTAATTAATTTTTACAGCATGAAGATGATGATGAATGCAAAACATCTTTAAAGATGTCAACTTCTAATTTGCTATCAAATTAAAGGCACATAACACATGCTCATTATTATCAAATGCAGTGTCTTATCATATAATAACTTTAAAAATATTATTGACGAGGCCCACCAACAAAACAACGATTTTTTTGCCGCCTTTGATTTTTTTTTTTTTAACAATGTGGGAAAAACAAATTAGTATGATGCTTTTAATAGTTGTTTTCAAAATCCTGTTTTACAAGTTAGGTATTGAAAATTAAGAATACTAGTGGATGAAAATGTGTGCAGTAAGTGGTATAAATCTAGTTCCAGTGAACACGTCTGGGGAAGTCTTTAACTGGACATTGAATAGCATGCTTCAACTCTGCCCATGTCTCACGTTATTTCCCGTTGGACTTGTTCCACAACGACTTTGACTCACACGAACATGACTAGAGTGATTAATAAAGAGCCCAGAAACAAGCCTTGCATGATTATAAGTTAGCCTAGAAAAAGCCATACTTGCAAGGTGATAAGACACTGTCATTTGGGAATCACTTTGTGTTAAGAAAGTAAGCAGAGATGGGTGTGATAGTGGCTTTGCTATTATGCTACGCTTCTGTTACTAGTGCATCTGCTACCTTGATGAAAGCAGAGGAGAAACGTGCTCTGCTTCAAACCAAGTGGTGGAATACTAGTATTACTCCCTACAACGTCTCAGACCCATGTTACTGGTACGAGATATCTTGCAATGATTTTGGAAGCGTTACTCAGATATCTCCACTCCGAATCACTTCACAGCACCGTCGAATAGGAGATCTCAACTTGACAGCATTTTCTTATTTAGAAGAACTTGAACTTTCAAGAATGGGTTTGATAGGTACCATACCAATTCAAATTGAAACTCTTCAACATCTTAGACATTTGGGCTTGTCTCATAACAACCTTGCTGGTGAGTTATCTCATATTTATACCAAACTCGTTGAATTAGAAATATTGCATTTTTTTATAAACAAGCAAGAATCTTCTGCAACTTAATAAAATGTGATTTGATAGATACCATTCCAATTTAAATAGAGGCTCTTCAAAATCTCACTCATTTGAACTTGTCTAATAATCACCTTACTGGTGAGTTATTTTCTTTTCTTCCAAACTTATTTAATTACAATGTTTGTATTTTCCTAAAAACAACCCAAAACCTGTACAACTTAATAAAATGTGATTTAATAAGTACTATTTCAAATTGAATAAAAGCTCTTCCACATCTTAACTATCTAAACTTGTCTTATAACAATATTACAAGTAACTTGTCTCAACTATGGAAGTGTTGCTGAGATGTATCGACCTAGAATCACATCACAACATCCTTGGCTAGCAGATATCAACCTGGCTACATTTCCCGACCTACAAAATCTGATACTTTCTAGAATTTATAAAATTTTAAAAATGGTATAGTACTGAAGAAATGTTTTAAAAGATTAAAATATTTAGCACATGTTTAGTAAGGGGAAAAAACTTATAATATCGATCAAAGGCTTCTTTTTTGTGTTTTTTGTATAATGTTGTAATTCCTCTTGCTCTTACTTTTAATTTCAAAGTTTGAGTTTCATTCAAATTAATAACAGGACCATTTTCAAACAATATGATATAAACAAATAAAATATAATTATAAAAAACTTGACTCCATAGAAACTAACCACAATAATAAAGGGAAAAAAAAAACAAGCTTTTGGTTGTAATAGGAGAAACTCCTCCTGCCAAAGTTCCAAAGTGGTGGTAAACTCTTTCATTCAAAATAGTTATAATAGTGGCCAACCTTCCTACACCCATTTGATCACATGGTATTATAGCATATCCCTCTAAAAATATAAATTTAGATTCAATAACTGTACTTAGTATGGTCATTGAGTGTCTATATCATTTGAGCCATTGAAATCCATATCAATAGTTCAGATAAACTCACTCATTCATTAATTTTAAATGAAGTATCAATTTAAAACTATTAATTTAAATTTTAATGATTTAGATGATACAGACATTTAGTACAATCATCAAATTCAAATTCACATCCAACTTGGATATTTTTGTTTCGGCTAGTGAGGTTAAGGAGTAGGAAGTATTTTGGCTTAGGAGGACTTGGATGCCTTGATTGAGAGATTTTTCGGAGCTGTCACTGCTGTGTGATTGGTGGGCACATTTTGTGATCCTCAGTGCTATTAGTTCAAAGACAGAAAACTTGAACTTAGACCCTTAATTTAAAGTCTTTCCCTTTCGCTAGTAAAATTTATAATCTGTCAGTGTAAGAGATCATAAAACAGAAAAATATAAAAGTACCTCTTGTACTTTTATTCTGCATTTTGTTTTAGTATCTAAGTTTATTTTATTATTCTCATTCTTTTAGTTTGATCCATATTTAATAATAGCTCTTATTTTAAAAATACACAAAAGGACCATAATATTATATTGATGAAGTTAATTTTATTGACATGTATTTAATTCTGTTAACACCTTTGTTAACATATACTTAATCTCTTGCTTTCGTCCATCACATTGTATTTAATCTAAATGTACAATGAAGCTTTTTTTGGCCCTCTTGCCTTTTATTTTTAATTATACCTAGTAAATTTATTTTTGTGCTGACATATTTTTATCGTTTTAGCGAAGGAGTTATAGAGTTATAGTGAAATTAACTCCATCAATGCTAGCTCATAACAGTTATATGCATTTTTAAAATCATAGAGATTAAAAGTTTTAGATGGATCAAACTAAAGGGACTAAAAATAATAAAATACATATAGGGACTAAAAATCCATATGTGGGTCATTGTATATATCACTCATTTGTTATAAACTCATGATTATTATTCAATTTACGTTATGTTTATGGGCATTGCTGGGGAGCAAGACACCTACGAAGATCACTGACATTGAAGTTAATTATTATTATGGTCACACTTGTTTTACTTTTTATAATTAATTTTTACAGAGCATTAAGAGAAGAAGATGATGATGATGACAAAACATCTTTAAAGATGTCAACTAAAAAGTTACTTGGATAAAAAAGGTCACTATATGATATAAAAAAATTAAAGCAAATGTAAACTTATATGATATTTGGTTATTTGCCATCAAATTAAAGGCACAGAACACACAGGCTGACCATTGTCAAACGCAGTGTCTTATCGTATAATAACTTCAAAGAAATTATTATTGACGAGGCCCATCAACAAAAGGATGATCTTTTCCCTTCTTTGATTTTTAAAAATAAGGAGGGAAAAAACAAATTAGTATGATTCTTTTAATAGTTGTTTTAAAAATTAGATTTAGCAAGTTAGGTATTGACAATTAACGCTAATGGTCAAAGAAAGTGTCTGTATAGCACAAATCCAATTCCAGGAACATGTCTGGAAAAGTCTTTAATAGGGCATAGACCATAATAGCACACTTCAACTCTGCCCATCTCTCACGTTATTTCCTATTAGACTTGCTCCAACGACTTTGACGCTCATGAACCAGAGTGCTTAATAAAGAGCCCAGAAACAAGCCTTGCAAGGTTCTAAGTTATTCAATTTGGGGATCACTTAATGTTGAGAAAGTAAGTAAAGATGGGTGTGATAGTGGCTTAACATGTCTGGACAAGTCTCTAGTAGGACAAAGACCATAACAGTGAAAATGATATACCTTTAAATCCTGGTTTGAATCTTCAGAGGCATGAAATTATATTTAATGCCTGAATAAATTTTCGGTCATTAATCTATGGCCATGACTTCATTAACAAGAAATTACTACCTCATCTTTCACAGTATACTAATAACTACTTTTAGTTTATTCAAAATATTTTAACTAAACAGTGTTTTTATTATTAGAAATGTTTTAATCCTTCAAATTATGTCCTCAGTGCAGACTTTTGGTTGTTTTTAAGCAGTTTTTAAAGACTTTTATGGAATATAGTAAACATTTTGGTCAACGTCTAAATACGTGTGTCAAATTTTTTGATCAACTAAATATGTGTGTCAAATTAAATGACTTAATTTTTTGAATTAGAAACAGGGCAATGCCCAACTTATTTTATTCAACTAGAAATTAGAAACTTTAAATTTTATAATTTAAACACAATTGAGAAATAATTTGAAAAGTTGGTGGTCGGTGATGCACATGTTCGTCAACGTCAAAGTCATTGGAGCCAGTCCAAAGGTAAATAGAGGACATAATCATTGAGAAAGAACTTATTGAGGTATTAATGAAAATTACCCAGCTCTCAATGAAGTGTCACTATTATAAACTAGTACTATTCCATTCTACTGAAGTCTGAACGTGTCTGGACAAGTCTGCCGTAGGACATGGACCCTAATGATAGACCTTTGAATCTTTAGAGGCAGGTAATTTATTAATGCCTCAACAATTTCGTGGTCATTAACCTATGGTCGTGACTTGCGATGAAATTACCCCATTCTTGGTCATCTATGCTCCAACTGTCCACCGACTTTGATGCTGACCGGAGTGATTACAAAAAAGAGCGCATCGAGTAAACAATACTTGCAAGGTGACAATTAAGCTGTTGTTATTTGGGAATCACTTTGTGTTGAGAAAGTAAGTAGAGATCAGTGTGATGTTGGCTTTACTATTATGCTATGCTTCTATTACTAGTGCGTCTGCTATCTCAATGTAAGTGGAGGAGAAACTCGCTCTCAAGTAGCAGATCTCAACTTGATTGCATTTTCTTATCTAGAAAATCTTGTCCTCTTTGGAATGAATTTGACAAGTACCATAACAATTCAAATTGGAGCTCTTCAACATAGTTATTTAAGGTTGTATTATAACAACCTCACTAGTGAGTTATCTCCTACTCATACCAAACACATTAAATTAGAAATGTATTTTTCAAGAAACAAGCAAGAATCTTCTGCAACTTAATAACATGTTATTTGATAGGTACAATTCCAACTCAAATAGAAACTATTCAAAATCTAGCTTATTTGGACTTGTCAAATAACCACCTTATTGGTGGTCATCTCCTAAGCTTACCAAATGCATTAATTAGAAATATACTTTTCTAGAAACAACCTAGAATCTCTACAACTTGATAAAATGTGAATTAACAGGTACAATTCCATCTCAAATAGGAGCTCTTCAATATCTCGACTATTTGGACTTTTCTCATAACAACTTCATTGGTGAGTTATTTCCTACTCATACCAAACACATTGAATTAGAAATGTTGTATTTTTCAAGAAACAGGCAAGAATCTTCTACAACTTAATAACATGTTATTTGATAGGTACCATTCCAGCTCAAATAGAAGCTCTTGAAAATCTAGCTTCTTTGGACTTGTCTAATAACTACCTTACTGGTGAGTTATCTCCTAATCTTACCAAACACATTAATTAGAAAGATATTTTTCCAAAAACAACCTAGAATTTCCACAACTTGATAAAATGTGAATTAACAAGTACAATTCCATCTCAAATAGAAACTCTTCAATATCTCTACTATTTGGATTTTTCTCATAACAACCTCACTGGTGAGTTATCTCCTACTCATACCAAACACATTGAATTAGAAATGTTGTATTTTTCAAGAAACAAGCAAGAATCTTCTGCAACTTAATTACATGTTATTTGATAGGTACAATTCCAACTCAAATAGAAGCTCTTCAAAATTTAGCTTATTTGGACTTGTCTAATAACCACCTTACTGGTGAGTTATCTCCTAATCTTACCAAACACATTAATTAGAAAGATATTTTTCTACAAACAACCTAGAATCTCTATAATGTGATAAATGTGAATTAACAGGTACAATTTCATCTCAAATAGGAGCTATTCAATTTCTCAACCATTTGGACTTTTCTCATAACAACTTCATTGGTGAGTTATCTCCTACTCATACCAAACACATTGAATTAGAAAAGTTGTATTTTTCAAGAAACAGGCAAGAATCTTCTACAACTTAATAACATGGTATTTGATAGGTACCATTCCAGCTCAAATAGAAGCTCTTCAAAATCTAGCTTATTTGGACTTGTCTAATAACTATCTTACTGGTGAGTTATCTCCTAATCTTACCAAACACATTAATTAGAAAGATATTTTTCCAAAAACAACCTAGAATCTTTACATCTTAATAAAATGTGAATTAACAGGTGCAATTCCATCTCAATTAGGAGCTCTTCAATATCTCCATCATTTGGATTTTTCTCATAACAACCTCACTGGTGAGTTATCTCCTACTCATACCAAACACATTGAATTAGAAATGTTGTATTTTTCAAGAAACAAGCAAGAATCTTCTGCAACTTAATTACATGTTATTTGATAGGTACAATTCCAACTCAAATAGAAGCTCTTCAAAATTTAGCTTATTTGGACTTGTCTAATAACCACCTTACTGGTGAGTTATCTCCTAAGCTTACCAAACACATTAATTAGAAAGATATTTTTCTAGAAATAACCTAGAATCTCTACAACTTGATAAAATGTGAATTAACAGGTACAATTTTATCTCAAATAGGAGCTCTTCAATATCTCAATCATTTGGACTTTTCTCATAACAACCTCACTGGTGAGTTATCTCCTACTCATACCAAACATGTTGAATTAGAAAGGTTGTATTTTTCAAGAAACAAGCAAGAATCTTCTGCAACATAATTAAATAATAGAAATAATTAACATAATAAGAGAGTGCTATCCATATGTGCACATCACACACGTTATGTTTATGGGCATTGCTGGGGAGCATGACACCGACCAAGATCAATGACATTGAAATTAATTATTATTATTATTATTATTATTATTATTATTATAGTCACAGTTGTTTTACTGTTTTTAATGAATTTTTACAGCATGATGATGACGAAGAAACATCTTTAAATTAAAGATGTCAACTAAAAGGTTACTTGGACAAAAAAGTAACTATATCATATAAAAAAAGTAAAACAAAATGTAAACTTATAATTTGCTATCAAATCAAAGGCACAGAAAACATGCTCATTCTTGTCAAATGCAGTGTCTTATTATATAATAACGTTAAAGATATTATTATTGACGAAGCCCATTAGCAAAACAATGATCTTTTCCCATATTTGATTTTTAAAAACAATGAGGGAAAAACTAATATAGTGTCATGCTTTTAATAATTGTTTTCAAAATCCTGTTTTACAAGCATTGAAGTTAACGCTAAGGTCAATGAAAGTGTGTGTAGTATAATTCCAGTTCCAGTAAACACGTCTAGAAAAGTCTTTAAAAGGACATAGACCCATACAACAGTAACTTAATTCAACTCTGCCCATCTCTCACGTTATTTCCCATTGGACTTGCTCCAACGACTTTGACTCTCACGAACATGGCCAGAGTGATTAATAAAGAGCGCAGTTCATAAGCAATACTTGCAAGGTGATTAGGTATTGTCATTTGGGGATCACTTAGTCTTGTGTTGAGAAAGTAAGTAAAGATGGGTGCGATAGTGGCATTACTATTATGCTACGCTTCTATTACTAGTGCATCTGCTACCTTGATGAAAGCAGAGGAGAAACTTGCTCTGCTTCAAACCAAGTGGTGGATTATTGCTAGTACTACTCCCTACAACATCTTAGACCCTTGTGATTGGGAAGAGATATCTTGCAACAAGTTTGGAAGTGTTACTTCGACATCTCCACCCGAAATCAATTCACAGCACCCTTGACTAGCAGATCTCAACTCGACAACATTTTCTTATCTAGAAAAACTTAAGCTTTCCGGAATGGGTTTGACAAGTATCATATCAATTCAAATTGGAGCTCTTCAACATCTTTATTATTTGAACTTGTCTCATAATAACGTTACTGATGAGATACCTTCTACTCATATCAAACTCATTGAATTAGAAATGTTACATTTTTTTAGAAACAACATAAAACCTCTGCAACTTGATAAAATGTGAATTAACAGGTACAATTCCATCTCAAATAGGAGCTCTTCATAATCTCTATTATTTGGACTTTTCTTATAACAGCCTCACTGGTGAGTTATTTACTATTCATACCAAACTAATAAAATTATAAAGATTGTATTTGATGACAAATAAAATGGAACATTCATGACAACTCAATTCAATGAGTTTGACAGGTAGCATTTCAACTCAAGTGGAAGCTCTTGGCAATCTCTACGATCTACACTTGTCTTTTACCAATATTACAAGTGAGTTATTATCCATGCTTGCTTGTAAAACTCAAAAAAAAAAAAGGATTACTAAAATATTTAGCATAATTTTAATATGAAAAAAACTTATAATATTGATCAAAGTCTTGTTACCTTAAATTTTAATTTCAAAATTTGAGTTTCCTTCGAGTAAAGAATAGTCATTCTCAAACTTTATGATGTGAACAAATGAAATATAATTATTAAAAACTTGACGCCTTATAAAATAACCATAATAACAAAGAAAAAACATAAAAAAGTTGTTCGTTGTAATAGGAGAAACTCCTTCAGCGAAAGTTTCGAAGTGGTGAAAAGCTTTTGTCATTTAAATAGCTGTAATAGTGGCTAACCTTCCAACACTTACCGTTTCATCATTTCAATTAACTACATAACCTTGTTCACCAAATAATACTATTGCCGCAGCAAATGAGAAATATGCATTACATCAGAGCAAATGGTGGAACATCAGTGATAGTGGCTCCAACTACCCTTGTGATTGGGATGGCAAATATTGCGATCTCTTCGGAAGAGTTATTAGGATTAACAAACCAAGAATCCATTCACAGCAATCTCGGAGGCTAACAGATCTCAACTTCACTGCATTTTAAAATCTAACATATTTGAATCTTAATGGAATGGGGCTCACAGGTACTTCTCCATCTCAGTCTTCATTTATCACATGAATTTGGGCTTGCATATCCTACAATAATCTCACTTACCATAGATTTGCTCAATTTGAATAGAAATGATCTAGCTGATTGAAACCATTCATTCAGCTTTGGGTTTTAACTATGATAGTAGTTCTCAAAATCTTATATTTGTGCACAAATATATTCATTGCAGGTTATATCCCTTCTTCAATTTTTAAATTCTCTTCAAATTTAGAAGAGTTTAATGTTTCTCAAAATCAAATAAGTGGTAGCATGCAAAAAGAGCTTGGATTAAATTCTCTTTCTCGTCTAAATATCTCCCACAATAAACTAAGTGGAAACGTGCCTTACCTTAATACCCGTTTCTATTTTTAGGGTGATTTTAGTCACAATAAAATCAATGGAAAATTACCATCCGACATATGCAGTTTTCCATCAAAATGTAGCATTGATTTGAGCTACAGTAATATCTCTGGTATTATACAAAGAGAACTTGGTAAGTTGAGTTACACCAACTTATCATACAATATTTTGAGTGGCAATGTTCCCAAAGAAGTTTATATCATACCTTATCATAAAGACGGAAGACGCTTAAATATTGACAAAGATCATTAATAACATTGTGATCTCTTTATTCTTTGATTTTTCAATACAATAAGGAAAAAACTAAAATATCTATTACTGTCATTTTTAAAATCCTATTTCACAGATTAAATAAGCGAAAGGCTAAAAATAAATTTGATGATTTTCTTCGGAGAAGAATCACGTCCTTGAGAAACTAGTTACCATATTCTTCATCTTTTGATATATTTTCCCCTCAACTTTTTTCTTCCTTCATTTGAAGGCTTTCATCATTTCGATGTCCAATTCTGTTGGAAGTCATTGCGTTGTCTTTAGGGCAAGTGTTTGATTATAAGATCCTTGTTACTTCATTGAAGTTTTCGGATAGCATGCTGTGACATTTTAAATCTATACACTAAGCAAAACTTTAGTAAATGATTGAGATGATTTCATTGTTTCTAATATTAATTGGACCTCTTAACTTATCATGTGAATTTTAAGAGCCAATAAAAATACGACAAAATAACCATTTTCTCAAGCTTAGCACCTTTGCAACTTGTGCATATGATCCCGTCTCCCACGTCGAAGATGAGAATGACTATTATATAGGAGTCAGTCTTCCTCATTTATCTAGCGGCAAAGATAGGGCATAGAGGGACCGTAAATTTGTTTTGGCATTTTATGGGGTATTATGTATGGCCGTGATGACTCGCGAAGAAATTATGTTATTACTACCCCATCTTTCATGTTATTAAAATTGTATGAAAGCTATTAAAATGACAGAAATAAAATTAAAAAAATCAATAAATATTCTAACTAGATATTTTACAAATAAAAATATTTTTCATTTTTAGAAGTTAGTTTTACATGCTCTGTTTCAAATTATAAATAACTTTGAAGGTATATTTTTATTCAAAAATACAAGATAATTTGACAAAAATAAGAATTTATTAATAATAATTTTTCAATATTACGTTTCAAGTAGTTAAAGAATTGAAATGATTAAATGTGTAGATTCAAAATTATATTTAAATGAAAGGCATTTTTGAATGTTTACACTTTTATTTTGAAAAAATAAATTTGCAAAGTATTATCATTAAACTTTATTGATATGTATAATCTAGGCTAGCCTATTTTTTTTTTTAAAAAAATCCAGGTCCAGTTGCCGCTAGCTCTGCCATATTTTATGAGTTTCTAAATTCAAATTGAACGCCCCAATATCCCATGTCAATTCAGTCTTCCTGGATCTATGTGGAGACGCCGTTGCCTCATTCATTTAGGGATCACTTAGTGCTAAGAAAGTAATTATGGGATCATGGGAGTCATAATGGCACTATTGTTATGCTATGCTGCTATTATTGGTGAATCTGCTTCCATGGTAGCAGAGGAGAAACGTGCTCTGCGTCAGACCAACTGGTGGTATATCACGGACATGTCAAACCCTTGTGAGTGGGTTCAGTTTTCTTGCAATGAGCTTGGAAGCGTTCTTGAGATATGGAACCAATAATGATTTTCACTCCACACCGTAGTACCTTTGGCTAGCATGTCTCAACCTGACTGCATCTCCCCATCTAAAATATCAATTGCTTTCTGAAATTGGTTTGATAGGGTACCATTCCAATTCAAATAAAAACTCTTTCAAAATCTTATTCAATCGGATTTATTTTATAATAATCTGGCTGGTAAGTTATCTATTATTCTTACAAAATTCATGAATTAAAAAAGTTGTATTGGCCTAGAAACAACATAAAACCAAATAAACTTTATATATTGTGATTCAATAGGTATTATTCCATCTCAAATAGGAGCTCTTCAAAATCTCAAATATTTAGACTTCTCTTATAACAATCTTAGTGGTGAGTTATCTATTACTCTTATAAAACTCATTGAATTAGAAAGATTGTATTGGTGCAGAAACAACTTACAATTTAAAACTTAATAGAATATGATTTTACAGGTACCATTCCATTTCAAATAGGGGCTCTTCAAAATCTCATCCATTTGGACTTGTCTCATAACAACTTTACAGGTGAATTACCCAGTAACCTTACTTAATTTGCATTTGACCATGAATAACTTGCAACATTTCCAACTCAAAGCAATGGGTTTGACAAGTACCGTTCCAATTCAGTTAGAAGCTCTACAACATCTTAATTATCTAGACTTGTCTAATAACAATATTACATGTGAATTACTTTCCATCCTTGTCAAACTGTAAAATTGAAAAAAAAAACAGAGAGAGAATATATTGAATACATGTTTTAAAGGATTAAAATAGTTAACATACTTTTAGTTAAAAAAAAAGCTTATAAAATCAATCAAAGGCTTTATTTTCTATTTTACAATGCGTAATTCCTCTCGCTCTTACTTATAATTTCAAAGTTTGAATTTCATTCAAATAAAAAAAAAAGCTATGTCAAATTTGAGCTATTCATTATCTCATGCCTTTCAATTTGTATGT